TGCCCATATGCATAAAAAGGTAATTTGATATTTAGTTAATGAATTGACGAATCTAGACTAAATAGCAATGGCTACTTGTATTTCAGAAGGAGAGACATTGTTTCTTTGGCTAGAAGTGCACAGTACCATGCAGTCTAGTCGTTAAACAAATGAGATGGAAATCTGATCAGTTCCCCAGCTCTAATAAGAGTTATGCAGTGTTCATCATGATGCTCTAAAGGATGGGTAGTGAAATTGAACTTAGCCTCTCAAGGACAAACCACTGATGTCCTTTGGAGAAAACAAACTATGAGCAACCTATAAATGAAAATAGACCAACCAATTAAAATATATGGATGGTGTTTGGGTCTAATTTTAAAAATGAAGAACAAAAAAAGGAGGAACATTGTGAGGAGCCTTCTGATTGGATATTTACAGATACTCACGGTTTTCTAAATGTGTGTCTGATAGTGATTTTGCATTTTGTGTATATACATGCATATACACATGTACAGTTACATTTTAAGGAGATGTCCATTTGATCTGTCCATTTAATCTGTTTATAGAGAAAAACGAAAGCAAATTCAGTGTAATTTGGTAGCCAGAAGGTATGCTTTATAAAGCTAGTAATCAGTACATATTTATCCTATTTTCTAGACTGTTATGGAAATAATTGATTTTTATAACCAATCCAATAAAATTTGCCAAAAGACACAGGCATTTCTTGGAGAAGAAGTGTGTACGAGATTTTACAAGTACTAGATACTGTATATTCCACAAGCTCTCTAGTCCTTTTAGCATCACTAAACTCTCTTCAGAAAACAACTGGCTCCTGAAATAGAGCATTTGCATGTACTGTAACTTGGCAGTTCTTTTCAGCTCATCAGTATATAGCAAGAGAAGAATCTTACCATATACAAAAATGGTCAAGTTGCACATAATAGCAGAACTGTAGGAATAAGCTCAGTACCTTTCTGTGGCAGAGAAATGAAGAAATAGGCTCTGGGAATAACCAGATAAATACAGTGAACTGCTATATAATGGTCAATAGGACTGTGGCACACAACAATGTTGACTGATTTTCAAAGAATTCTCCAATATTACATATGATATATACCATTTTAAACATAAAACCATTAAGCTAGGTCTATGAATATGAATCACTGTTTATAAATATACAAATATGTATGTATATATTTTCATATATCAAAATAAAGTAAAACGAAAGCAAGAGAAGGTGAATGGGCCTCAGCAGGATAGTGGCTTTCTTGGGTGAGGGTAGGGGTGGCAGCGATGTGCGGTTCTCTGTGTGGACACATGGGAGGGATTGGCAAGGCCCTGCCTTACTGCTTGGTAATGGTTTGTATTTACCAATTATATATTATTAAAAACAGTAATCAGCTAAGAAAAGACCAGGAGAATAATTATTACATTTTTATATGGCTGAGTTATAACTAAAGAAAAATCTTACTCTATATGCTTGACAATATAAATAACATTTTACAGTCCTTATAGACATTACCACTGAACAGCAATGTGCATAAATGTTGATTTTTGGCTCACTTCAGAAAGATTTCTTTTGTCCTTGAGTTGTATATATTACTTTGTGTGTTTATTGTATAAACATGAATGGAACCTGACCAGCTAGACATTGCTTAGAAATTGTCTGGCTAATTGCTTTATTTAAAATATTTATTTATTTATTTATTTATTTATTTATTTATTTATTATGTATACAGCATTCTGCCTACATGTATCCTGCAGGCCAGAAGAGGGCACCAGATCTCATTACAGATGGTTGTGAGCCACCATGTAGTTTCTGGGAATCGAACTCAGAACCTCCGGAAGAGCAGACAGTGCTCTTAACCTCTGAGCCATCTCTCCAGCCCCCTGCTTTTTTTTTTCTTAATTAAAAACGTTTCTGAAAAATTTCCTATTGCATATTATTTTCCATTTTTGTCACATTAAAAGAATGCTGTTATATGTGATAATTATTCTTCATTATATTTCTTATATTTCCATGTAATTACCAGAAGTTACCTTTTAATAACCTAGGAACTTGCCTTTCCTACCAAGTCTTTAATATGAAGCTGTTTTCCTAAGGACTCTTCTGTTCCCAAAAATTGTTTCCCTTTATTAACTGAAACTTTATTGGTTGAAATTTTGCCATTTTTTTCTTTTTACTTTCAGTTCATTCTGGTATTGATTCAAGCTATTTACATATTTTAAAGTAGTAATTTCTACATTAATTTAAATAGTTTGTTGTAAGTACTTTTCCAAATGCAAACTCATTAATCACATTATCATCATTATGAAACATGTAATTACAAACTGAGAGATATGAGTTGTATATGTGTCCATGCATGCAAATTACCTCATTTATACTTGGGAGGTTGCCTGTAAGCTAAACTCGAAGGTATGGCTAATACCCTGTCGAAGGTACTCAGGTCAGTGGAAATAGCCTGTATGAAAGAGCTGCAGCAGAGGAAAATTAAGCATGATTAATAACAAGTAGTGAGACTGTAACTGTGGGTTTCATATTTGAAAAATGACAGAGATAACAGGACCTGAAGCTCAGATATGTGTCTGAAGAGAATCCTTGTTCAATGCCTAACTATAGCTAGACTGCAAGTTCCCCCATAGAGGATCCAACTTCTAGGTTCACATAGGGCCAATGCAAGAAGGGATTCAATTAAGAATTAAGACTCCTTATTTGATTAGTTATGCCTGGCTCACACATGGTAGCATCAGTTTTCATTGCTATGAACTGGCCTTATGTGTGATAGCATGTGCTATAAAGTTAGAAGCTTCATGAGACAATTCAACCCAGCACTATCCAGTGAAGACTTGCGTATTCCAAAGGATCACCAGCGAAGTTTATTTGAGTTTCTTCATTTTATCCATGCCTCATCCAGAATGAATAAGCACATATGTGATTGGTAATAATTAATAAACCAGACCAGAAAAATGAGTTGGTAGCAGTGGATGCTTCTGCCTACTGTATTTAGTTTATTTGATCACTCAGTACCTGTCAAAATAGCCTTTATCAGAGCACTTCTGTCAAGAGCTCTAAATAAAGTTGCCTTTCCACAGTTCATGTGAAATAGTCTCAACTTATTTCTTTTATAGCCATTTGTTTTACATAAAATGGGCTACTGGCCCTTTGTGTCCTTCAAAGACTAAAGGTTACTATTTGGAGTATCTTTCCAGGCTAGCCCTGTAATTTCAATTGTAATTTCAGAATGTGGGAGCCAAGGAGGGAAGATTATGAGTTTGAGGCAATAACATCTATCTCAAGGACAAAACCAAAACAAAACCAAAAAAAAAAAAAACCCCACCCCCCCCCCGGAGAAGAAAAAACAAAAAAACAAAACAAAACAAAAAACCCAAAAAAACAAAACCTAAGAAAAAAATATTTTTACAGACTGTCTTTTCATGTGTCTAATTTACATATGATGTGCTTTCTCTTAATATAGATAGAATGTAACGCATCTACCTGATGGCTATTAGTAACCCAGCCCACCACCAGCTAGAACTTACTTGCTTTATTCCACGTTAATAAAATATGGCCCATTGGTAGACAAAATAGCAAAGGGTTCCCTACTCTAACAAATTCTCTATCAAGGGAGATTGCCTGGGCACTGGCATCAGCTCCTCCTCGTGTATTCTCCTGAGTAACTTGAAGCCAGCAAAGTCTTTATTGCTATATTTATCAGCCTTAAATAATAACTAATTATGAAACTAACAGTATTCATAATTGAGACTATAGAGAATCCTTTATAAAGAAAATAATGTAGTTTAAAAAGTAGAACAGTATCCATTTGTATAAATGTTAGAAGTAATCTTCATTTAAAACATTAGTATTCTTTTTAACTCATTTTCAAAAATCTGATTTTGTAAAATTGTGTGTGTAGAAGTAATAATTTTCAGAGAAAAATGTTATTTTGTAAAATTAAGCTGATTTCTTACTACTTGTTTAATAAGACCAGCTTTAGGTGTCTGCACACACATGTATGCATACACACACACACACACACACACACACACACACACACACTTTTACTGTAAAACCATTAAATATGTACTAAACTGAAGTGATGAGCCCATGTCTCTGGCGTTCAGCTTCAGGGTCAGCAGGCGCTGCTTATCTCCTTCCCTCATCTTTTTTTTACTGGATCATCTAAGGCAGAGTCAAAGTATTTTTAATGTGTAAACTGTCCAGTGTCATTCATAGAATCAGTATCACATCTAAAAATAAAAACATAATAAGTCTTATTAGTAATCTAGTCAGAGTTCAGATTTTCTGTAGTATTTCATAACTTCTGTTGTTACATGTGTGTATGTTTGAGAAAAGCCTTTACTTTGTAGCCCAGGCTAGTTTCTAAGTTATTGATTTCTTCCACCACAGACTTCTGAGTACAGGAATACATATAGGGCTGTGCCACACACTCAGATTCTTAAATGTTTTTTAAAGTTGGTTGAATCACAGCCAAAGCAAGTGTATATAGTGTAGTTTTCCATCTGCGTGTCTCTCTAATTGCTTCAATATATAGCTCCTCCCCCCAGCCACTTTTAAGAGAGGATGATTTGTCTGCCTATTTAATTTTGCTGAGTATATATCTTTGTGATATATTTTTATATGTCTAAGAATATTCAAAGCATATAATACCTATCTGTATTGACTAAACAATTTTTTGTTAAAATAGAAAAAAAACAAACTTAGTTTGTGACGAATAGAAAAAAAAACAAACTTAGTTTGTGACGAATTTAAAGATAACAAGAATCTGTAAAGCAGAAATCTGAAGGGGTGCCTATAAGCCTCAGGAAGTAGGATACTTTTGTAATCTCCTTCCATTCTTAATGGCACTGGAATTAGTTTGATAACATTGTAAAATCTGTTGCCATCCTACAATATTATACAAATATTGGAATATGAAATTGTAACAAAAATAGCAGATGAGGTTGATTATTTGTAGGAGCCCCATTTTGTATTAACCCCCTTTTAAAATTTTCTGAACAAGCTACCAGGTGATCAGCACTCCGACAGACTTCTTTATGGTAATGGAATATGTGTCCGGAGGGGAATTGTTCGACTACATCTGCAGACATGGGCGGGTGAGTGACATATTTTCTAGTATATCTCTCAGCCCCAAGCTAAGAAAGTGGAAAGAATTGGTAGTAGCTAACCACAGAGATATTTTCAGTGCTTTAATTGTTTCTGTAGCATCAATTGCACTACACGTGCAAGACATATTTCCTTTCTTGAGAAGTACGCCTTTTGAGTCCTGATTTGGAAACTATATCACACTTAATCGCCAAGTGATTCTTGTGCTTTTCACAATCTGTTCTGTATAAAATTATCTTGAAGCTTCAATTATTTTCTTTTCTTAGCATTTTCATATAAGTTCTGTTTTAGTTGGTTTTACTAACTCCCCCAAAACATTGTGCATATTTAATATTGGTTGAAAATTAAACATCTTTGCCATGCAGCGAAGCCTCCCCCCCCAAAAAAAAAAATTCATTGAATACTATTTTGAGCTTTGGCATGATTTTAGCTGGTTTTTCATCGTCTGACTTGTTGGATTTCTACGTAGTCAATTTTAATTAGCCTGATCAGTTATCTTTAGACTGGTTACAAAACTGAAGTGCATAATAAATGATGCCCCAGATCGTCTTGACTCAGCTTCTTTTTTTTTTTTTTTTTCTGCATGCTAGGTTGAAGAGGTGGAAGCTCGGCGGCTCTTTCAGCAGATCCTGTCTGGTGTGGATTACTGTCACAGGCATATGGTTGTCCATAGGGACCTAAAGCCAGAGAATGTGCTGCTGGATGCCCAGATGAACGCTAAGATAGCTGACTTTGGTATGCCAATCCAGGGTTGCTCAGAGCTGTGTCGTACCTTTAAAACGGACCAGTATCTACTCCTACAGAACTAAGAACTTTCCATCCACCCTCACAAATCCTGTACCATGAAAAGGGATTGACTGCAATTCACACTGGCCTGTTTAGTTTATTTAAATCCACTTAAATAGTACTGAGGTTTCTAGAAAACATGTCAGAAGCCCACGTCAAGACAGATCCTCTCAACATGCCTTTCCTCCTAAGGAAATGGTACCTGTGGGTTTTTTGTTTGTTTGTTTTAGTGGTTTTTTTGTTTGTTTTTTGTTTTGTTTTTTGTTTTTTTGAGGGAGGGGGTGCTGGGAAGAGAAAGAGCTTCAAACTCCTTTAATAGTTTGTTGACACAGTGGCTGCTTTCCCTGATAAATTTACATAAGCAAGTGTGTGAACATTTGTTCTCAGCTTTAGAAGCTTTGTGCTGCTTCTGACCTGACCTCAGTAAGACCTCTAAGTCTTAGGGCAGTATCTAATAACTGAGTAAATGGAATACTAGTTTTTGGTAAGAGACAAGATAAAAATGTACATTTTTAATCACCGTACACTTTCTGGCCTAAACACCCCGAGAAGGCTGCCACAGTGGATGTTGGAGGAGAAGACAGGATATGACCCTCAGGATCACGTGCTCCAGGGGTTTGTTTTGTACCTGCCTTTAAACTAGCTTTACTATTTCTGTTTAAATTCTTCTAGCAAGTATTTCAGCTGGAGGTTTGGTTCAAATTATTTTTACTATGTCGAATCAAAGCTCTCTAATTATAAACCTTTCCCAGGAAGTTGAAACAGGAGGCTCTACCTGGATAGCAGTGAGACCCCATCTCCAAGGAAACCAGCCCACTTATCAGCTGGAGCTGGTCTGCTATCTATTTACATGTAGGACCGTGATAGGATGGCTGGTTTTGGATGGCTGGTTTTGGTCGAGGCGCTGGCTGGAAATAGCCCTGGAGACCCAACAGGTGTCCATTGCCTCAGAGGGACTGGCATCTGTTCTTCTGTGCTCCCAGAATCCAGGCTCCTGACACTTGGTGATCTCCATTTGATCTACACCTTGCAGTCAAGGTTGGTTAGAGAGGGTGTGACTACAGGCTTCAGCCTCAAGTGATTTGCATATTCATGAGTTACCTAAAGGCCAAGGGGTGTGGCTAAACTAAGTTATTCCTTCTCAGTCCCTCCTCTTTTCCCTCCCCTATTTAAGGTAGGCCTGCCCTGGCTTAGATTGGGGAGGGAGTTGCACATCCAGATCCAACTACCACACCATGGCAATAAAACTCTTGGAACCCATGGACTTTCTCGTATCATTGGGGCCTGCCGTAGTAGAAGCTTCCAGCCTTTAGAACTCCAGACCTTCTCGAGTTACTGGGACCAGAGGCATGGAAAGCCTCCAGGGCAACGCTACGGTTTTTTCCCACATTTACAATAATAATAATAAAAAAAAGATAGACTGTTACTATATAGCCCTGGCTAGTCTGCAGCAGCTTGCTATTGTAGACCAGGCTAGCCTCAAACTCACAGAGATCCACCTTTCTATCTCCTGAGTGTTGGCATTAAAGATGTAATGTCCAATTACAACCTTTTAAGAAAGACTTTTAAAAGCAGTTTTTGTTTGGTTTTTAAGTAGCAGCCTATATTTTATTTCTTCATATAGAGAAGTAGATAATATATGGTGCTTCTATTTTTGAAAACAGTAATATAATTTCAAATAACCTTTGTATGTGTGTGAAATGGGTCAAAAAGTTTTCATGTAGTGAGGTGCATTCCATCTACACATGTGGTGCTCTTTAGTGTTCTGTGTGAAGATGTGCGTTCCCTAAAATGATTTCTTTCTAGTCTAAAAGCAACCTTCTAATTAGTAACACACTAATTTAAAGATGTGTGTGTGTGTGTGTGTGTGTGTGTGTGTGTGTATGATGTCTGTTGGTATGTGTGAGAGAGTACAGATGTGCCCGTTGGTCAGAGGACAAGCCTTCAGCGTCAATTCTCTCCTACCTCTCTGTATGATCTGTGGATTGAATTCAGGTTGTCAACTTTGCCCACTGAGCTATCTTGCCACCCACCATTACATTTAAACATAAATAATGAATATGATTTCTAAAGCATGCAATAATTGAGAATTTTCATTATAATTTTACCTGTATCTTCTGTATTCAGCATCTGATAAATTGCTCTCATTTTCAGGACTATCTAATATGATGTCAGATGGTGAATTTCTACAAACTAGCTGTGGATCGCCAAATTATGCAGCACCTGAGGTCATCTCAGGAAGGTAATAGTTTTAGTAATAAGTAGGCTTTTAGTGACCTTGTATCTATTCTGGTAACATTTAATTATATTTCCTTTGGGAAAGGATTTTTAACATAATAGAAAGAATCATTTACTATTTTTTATTATAGGTAGAATAGTTAATTTTTTAAACTCTATGTAGGCATTGTAATACATGTGTCTAGGCATTTTGATTGTAAAACATATGTTCATGTATTTTGCTTATTGGTGAAGGCAGAGACAAGTTGTGCAATGTCTATTTTCTGTTCTAGAAAATGTCAGGTAGCTGTAAAGATTTGCTAAAATTTAAGCCATTGTCTTTACTTATCAGACATAGTTATTTAATAGTGTTACACAGTTTCCAGGCAGTTGTTTTATATTCTGTGTTTGGAAGAGTAAAATTTGGGTGACAATATGATTTCAAGGATTTTAACTACACAAGTGGAGACTGTGAAGTCCCTCATGTGATTAGCTCAGTGGTACTTTAGACATATTTACAGAGGCTGCAGAGATAGAGTGAAGCCATTTCAGAGTGACTAGTGTCTTGTTTTACGAGTTACCAGAATGTGTTGAAAGGAATACCGAGTCGGTGCTTATATGTAGAGGTTGAGCCGCAGTTCATCTGGGCTGCTGGAGAGCACCATACACCATCCTAATGAACAGCTGCAGCCTGCCTGGCCTAGCTCTGGAGCTCCACAAGGATTTGGTGTGTAGGGCCTATTCCTCGCAGCCCACTGCCTCTTACCGTAAGCGTGTGTGGTCAAAGGGTAATGGGATCTCTCTGGGGTAGTTTTTATAGGGCATTAACCTTCTCTATGAGAGTTCCACCTAAGGGCCAGATCTCCCCAAAATAACCTCTTCCTTACACCATCGGTTTGAGGTTAGAATTTCAGCTGATCAGTTTTAGGGAACACATTTATTTAGTAAGGTGTTTGGATGATACAGCAAATGATGTAAATTAGGGGCAGCACTCTAGTAAGCAGATTATGTTCTTTCCACTGGAAATGTAGAAATCTTTTACCTCAGACCAGAGTTTGATTTTGGAAATGTGCTGTTGGGAATGGTAGTACAGAAGAAAGGCAAGACAAAAATAGTGAGAGGTGTGTGGTGCAGATCCGAGCTGTCCAGATCCAAGCTGTCCAGAGCCCAGCTGTCAGTCCAGAGCCCAGCTGTCTGTCTAGAGCCAAGCTGCCTTAGTCCAATGAATTATCCAATGATTTTGAAAGAAAGTAGTAGGGATTTTGTCATACGAGGGCTGGAGAGATGGCTTCATGGTTAAGGGCACTTACTGCTCTTCAGAGAACCCAGGTTTGATTCCCAGTACCCACACGAGGGCTCACAACTCCTAGGGAGTCTGACACTGTCTTCTGAGCTCTCTAGGTATCAGACACACAAGACATAGGTGCAGTTAAAATACTCATACATTTAAAATAAAAATTTAAAGATAAATAAATAATGTTTTAGAAAAGATGCTATACAAATTAAACATTGTCTATATGGTACTAGTTTTAGTACTTTAATATTTCAATTTTTGTTTAAAATGTGTGCTAAAGGGCAAAATTTCTGTTATATAATCATTTCTTTCTTGTAGTAGTTCTGTGCTGGGAGGTGAAGCACTATATATTATTTTTTCTTTTTTCTTTTTCTTTTAGTTTGTGCTTATCTACTTTAATGTGTCCTTAAAGAAATAAGACAGAAAGTGTAAAATTTTTTTGTTTGTTTGTTAGCTGATTTGTTTTTGAGACAGGGTCTTACCATGTCACCCTGGATGGCTTGGGACTGTCTAGATCAGGCTCGCCTAAAACTCAGATCTGTCTGCTTCTGCATTCCGAATGCTGGGATTAAAGGCATGCATCATCTGCCTGGCCAGAAAGTATAATAAATTTTAATTAGCACAAATAACTAATTTTTAGCAAATAAAAATAAATCTTTTGACAAATTTGTGTAATTAGTTGGGCTGATAACTTTCTATGAAGAGTAATTATTGAGGTTTGGAAATTGGTATGTATTTCAGTGAAGACCTTAAATAGCAATATAACCAAGTTGGTTTTGCATTTATCATGTATACAAGCAGGATACTAACAATGAGGTGAAATGATACCCACACTTAGGCTTGTGCTTTCCTTCCTCAGGCTGTATGCGGGTCCTGAGGTTGATATCTGGAGCTGTGGTGTTATCCTGTATGCCCTTCTCTGTGGCACCCTCCCCTTCGACGATGAGCACGTGCCTACGCTCTTTAAGAAGATCCGAGGGGGTGTGTTTTATATCCCAGAGTATCTCAACCGTTCTATTGCCACTCTGCTGATGCACATGCTGCAGGTGGACCCCTTGAAGCGAGCGACTATCAAGGACATACGGTGAGTATAGTTTTTGGCATTTTGCACATTCTCTCATTGTAGTAGTAATAATGATACTAGAATCTTTGCGCTCACCCAGGAGGATGAGGCAAGAGGATCTCCAGTTCAAGGCCAGCATGGGCTATATATAATATGACTGTCTCAATGACAAGGAATTTTAAAATTTGGACTTATGCAAACTTGGTTATGTGACTTACCTTTCAAATGTCTAACACTGCTTGTATGCTTATTGGCATAAGTAGCACAGCATCTAGGCCTGTGTGGGAAGGGTCCAGTCTCCCGGAGTCTCATCTTGCCTTCTCCACCACACCCTTCACCTTAGACTTTAGGTTCTGTGCCCTTGATTATATTATTCTGACCCTCATTATTTTCTGCACCCTCTCACCTGATGGCATTTGAATCATTTGTTTACGTTCTGCTCACGTGCCACCAGCTTTGTGGAGTCATTCCTGGTCCCATCACACTGTGGAGGAGCTTCTGACTGTGCAAGGCAGCCTTCAGCACTTGCCTTGTGATTTCGAGTTCATACAGTGTCTGTTCTTTCTCAGTGTGCCTCTCCTTTCTCGCATTATAACTGTCAGAGAACAAACTGTCTTAAGAGCCTTTCTAGTTACTTCCCTGCTCCTTTACTGTTCCTGAAAGTGGAAGTTTAGCAGGAATCTGGAGACATTTCAGATGTGAAAAGTGGAGAACTTTGTGTTTGGTTGGTGATGTACTGCATTGCCTTCTTTTGAAGCCTTACCACCATGTTATAACTGGCTTACCCTTATTGATAGTATCTAATGCAGTGAAAATGCTGTGTGAAGACAGTACTAAGGGAATAAGCACCAAGCATGTCTGTCCGTGTTCAGCTCAGATGCATGCATTGCCCCCACCCGCACTTTCCATGCCCCCGCCTTATTTTCCCCTGTACCGTCTGCTTCCTGTATTTTTCCCTTACACCATTTATGTCCTATATGTTTGGCTTCCATCCCTACATTTCTCCATTAAAGCCTGAATTTCCTGTCTCATGAGCCCCTTTCTAGTTTCCTGGCCTTCTATCCATACTATCATTTAGAAGCTAGAATCCTAATCGGAGAGGACATGGAATATTTGTCTTCCTGAGCCCCACTATGGGTAACTTACTTAGTATATTTAAGAAAATAACTTTTGTTACGTTTCTGATCCAGGAACCACCAGTGGATTTGCTGTGGAGGATCACTTGATTGTTGAGGAGTTAACTATTGTAATGGCAGGAATGACATAATGCCTCCTACACATTCTTTATTTGTTTAGAAGGCTTTTGTCTTATCTAAGGTTTCAAAGTGTTTAGAAGCACACTCTTCTGACATCTTTCAGAACCTTCCCCCTTTCCCCCTAAAGCCAGAGGAAATGTTGTGACACGTGTGTCCTATGGAACATTCAGAGGATGGCTGAGGTGTGGTCCCTGCTGGCTGCTGCATGTCTCTTGTAAGCAGGATGGATTTTTTTTTCATATTCCTCATTGCTGTGACTAAAAACCTGGCAAGAGGCACCTTAAGAGAGAAAGGATTTATTTTGGTTCAATGCTTGAGGAGATGTAGTAGTCCATTGTGGTGGGGAAGGCAGAGCCTAAGGGGCTGGTCACACTGCATCTGCAGTTAGGAAGCAGAGTGAATAGAAAGAGTGCTAGGCTAAGAGGCCCACCCCCAGTGACCTGTTTTGTCACCTGAAGCTCCACCTCCTAACAGATTCTCCAACCTGCATAAGTGGCGTCACCAGCTGGGAACCATGTGTCCTAACACAGACGCCTGTAGAGGACGGGACATTTGTTCAAACCACAACATTGTTTTCTTTCTCTGTCCTATTCCAGTGTTCCAGGCCTCGTGTGTAAGAATGTACAGCTGTAAAATTGCTGCTAGATTTAGTTATGGAAATGAACCAACACGGGGGAAAAACTCTGTTCACAATTCTTTGGAATAAATAGTTCTTCTAATTTGGTTTTTCTTAGAAGAAAAATCAGACATGCTAATATATTTGTACTTGCATATATAAGCACTTATAAATTTAGAATAGTAAAAGAATTCTGTTATTTTAAAACAATTATTCATATGTTTATAGACTCTAGAAGAAAAATGCAAATAAATCTATTGAGATGAATTAATTGACCCATAGGAAGTGCTATAAAATAGTGATATTTTAGGCTAGAGAGATGGCTTAACCATTACTTGATAAAGCTCACAGCCAAAACACAAAGTAATGACAACATTTCTATACTTAAAGTAATAACTTAGATTTATAATTCTCACTATTTTATGTTTATGTTCAATATTTCAATGTGAGAATTTTTAATTTGATAAAGTATACTTCAAAAGGAATAGAAGTTAAAAGTTTTGACAATTGATACACAACATTTTGCTATACATTTAACCTATTTTGTTATACTGACTTTTTTCAGAGGTAGCTGTTATTATTTTCATTTTAAAACAATAAACTGAAATTGAGGTTGTGTCATGACTTAGTTATATATCGATTTGTTTCTAAGTATAAGTTACTTTAAATTATGGACCACATTTTCATATTAAAATAGATCATGTGCATGTGTGGCATATATTTATAATGTGAATTATCCTGTTCTAAATTATACAGCCAAGGGCTGTGAATACAGCTCAGTTGGTATACTTCTTGTACAGCATGCACAGACCTCTGGGTTTGATTCCCAGCCCTGCATATGGTGGTGAATATCTGTAATCTCAGCACTGGGGGTGGGGTGGGAAGGGCAAGGCCAAAGGATTAGAAATTCAGGGCCAGCTTTGGCTACATAGCAAGTTTGAGGCCAGCCTGGACTACCTATAAAGGAAAAAAATGGAATTCAGAACCTTTTACTATCCTAGATTGTTACATGGGTTATGTGACTTTTATTTCTCCTTCATTCTCTCATAATACTTTGTATTTCTTTTATACTATGATACTCAGTGGCTTACTGTTATTGTGGAAATTGGGTATAATTATCTGATAAGCTTGAGACGAGTGTTTTACATATCAGTTTTTCAGATTTTGGAATATACGCATAGATTTTTTTTTCCAGTTAACAACCCTTATCCTAAACCCAGAAATGCTTTAAATTCAGAAATTTTAGAGCCTAAAAGATTTGAGATTTGGGAGCAAAAAGATTTGAGATTTGGGAGCATTAAGAGTTTGGATTTTCTGGTTGGAGATGCTCAACTTGTCTGCACAATATTCTCTTCAGCAGTCACGTTGGAAAAATGTCTCTACTTATTTACTTATTTAATTGTTTTTGCTTTTCTTCCAATATGTGTTTCGCATCTGCTGTGTGAGAGGTCCTAAGTTGACGGCAGAAATACAGTGATAGACAGGAGAGGAATGTGCTCTTGGAAGTCTGAGACTTGTTTCCTTCAGCTGTTTTAGACCTAGTAGTAGCATTAATAGCAGTATTAAAATTACTGTCCTTGAAAACAGTGGGTTTGAAGCTTAACTGTGGACATGGATACTGTTCCCCCCCCCCCCCCCGTTACTAATAGTGAGCTTATTCCTAACATATTTGTTCTTTAATTATTCCCCATTTATAGTGAAATCACTGAGAAGATAATCCCAGATTGAGCCATGTGAGATTGCTATTTTTGGAGGTCTAAAATTAATTAGATATCAGAACCTTCAATTATTCAACTTAATTTTATGTATATATATTTATGTGTGCAGATACACATTTACATGTATACCCATGTGTATGGTTTCCAAAGAACAACCTTCCATGCTTTTGTGCTGTTCCTCAGGTGATATCCAATCTTTTTTTTTTTTTTTTTTGAGAAAAGGCCTCTGTGGCCTGAAACTCCCAAGTTGGATAGGAAGGCCAGCCACTGATCCCAATGGACCTGTTTCCCCAACTCTTAGAATCAAGTTAATTTGAAATTTGGCTAAGTGTGCTGACCTATATATGCCTTCTAACATTTGGGAGGCTAAAAGGCAGGGTGATTGTAAGCTTGGGGCTAACCTAGGCAATGTAATAAGATACTGTCTTAAATACTCTTGGTTCTTTGAAAATTTACTACTTTTTATTTTGATGTATTCTTATTATATTAATTTACTCTCCCCATCTCCTCCCTTATTCCACACACACCTAACTTTATGTCCTCATTTATATTTTCTCTCTCCCTCTCCCTCTCCCTCTCCCTCTCCCTCTCCCTCTCCCTCTCCCTCTCCCTC